TGTTGCTCCGTCTCCTGTACTGATGACCGTGGAGCTGGGCCAGGGCCCATACAAGGAGATATTGGCCACCTCGGAGGATGGAACTCATAGCGATGCTGCGTCCGGGGTACGCGTTGAAGACTTCGATTTGTTACCCAGTGCCGAATCACGTCGTGTATGGATTGTTATTGAGCGCATTGGGGGTCCGGGAGGGCAGGTGGAGGATCATTTTGAAGTGGAAGCATTGGCAGAGGAGAGAGTGGAGATTGGAAAGTGGGTAATTGAGGATGAGTGATACCCAGTGTAGAGTCAGGCATACACAGTAAATATCATGGAATAGTTGCAGTTTCACAGATCTCCAAACCGTAGAAGGCCAGTAGATAAGATCCCGATAGCTCGGCCCCCGCACGGGCGGTGGAAACTCCGCGACCAACGTCATTTGTTCACCACATGCATCTTCTCCTTAACTCCTTAACACAAACATTCTGAACCATGGCGAGTAACATACCAGCTGGACTCCGATCGGCGGACATCGGGAGATTTGCAATCAGAGCCACTCAGATCGAGAAGGCTAAACCTGTGGTTGCCTACTGGTGTGAGTTGCAAGACCCCGCGCAGAGCGCAACTGGACTTTTGAGCTGATTTTCGACTCCAATTATGTAGGCAATTTCCATATTGTAAACCAGATTATCGAAAGGGGTCTGCACAATACCGATGATGAGATCAAACTCTACACGACAAACCTCGTGGACAAGCTGGAGCAGGTGAGTCGGGCTCGCCACCTGTGTTCCCTTTCTCCCGTACTCGAGATATAGCATCTGATGATATTGTCTTAAAATAGTTCAAACTAGAAAACCCAGACAATGACACAGTGACAGACACTGTTGCGGCGAGCGCCTATGTCGAGCAATTCGGATTGGAGGTCTTCAGCCGTGCCGAGGCCGCTATGGACGCGAACAAAGTCACAAAGTGAGCCTTCCATGTGGTGCTTCGAGCTACAAATGTCTAATCGCCCAAAAGGCAAACGGCAGATACTTTTCAGGCAGCAGCCACATTCCTTGAACTTTGTTCGATCTGGGGGCCCTTAGACCCAGAACTTGCTGGGCGGATCAAATTCGCCAAATTCCACGCAGTCCGGATTGTCAAGGCTTTCAAAGCCGGCGAAGATCCCAACGCGACAAATCCCGCACCTAAGCAGGAAGAAGAACCCGTCGACGACCCCGACGTTCAGGCATTTGACGAGTCGGTAGCAGAGCAGGCCTCCAAGCCAAGACAAGCCTCTATCGAAGACGTCCCAGACGAGTCCGACCGTTTTGCAAGAGAGCTTGCTCGGAAATCAACTCTCGATGAATCGCTCCATCCATCACGTACATCGTCAACACCTCGTCCCCCGCCCGAGATCCCTTCTGTTCCTCGCAACGCACCTGGCTCTCCTCCGCAATCGATGGATGTCGATGAATCCAACACAGACGGCTTAAATCTCCCATCAACTCCAGCGGGTATTGGCGCTTCGTCCTCGGTACCTAAGCTTCCAGATACCCCGACCGCATTCCAGTCCTTCCCTCCGCCATCCGAGGGTCCGTCCGTGTCCACGCCAGACCCGGCTTCTTTCTACGATACCCCAGCTCCTAGCGCTCCTATCCCGCCTCCGACTGCCCCGACGTTTGTTCCGACCCCAGCTGCCAATGTGCCGGTTGCGCCGGCTCCCTATGTCCCGCCCCAACCTTCACATGGTCTAGACGATAACACTGTGCAGATGGCGCAGAAGCATGCCCGTTGGGCGGTCTCCGCTTTGACTTTCGATGATGTCGATACTGCTATCAAGGAGCTCAGAAGCTCGCTGAAGTGTCTAGGCGCATCATGATTTTATTGGGTTTGTATAATCTTACCTTTGCTTACTCTACTGGTTGTTGGAGCACTGTGAAATACCTTGCTTTGGCTATTATAAAATGTATTGGACTTGACCAATGTAACTCTTCCATGTTTAATGATCTGTCTCTATTTATGTATGTAGGCAGGTATGTACACAATATCGGCTCCATTGTCCGACTCCACTGTTCCAAGATTGAAGGTTTGAATGGCTCTGTAGTTCGATCATTACATGTAAGAAAATGTGCAAAATAACCTTGAAATATAAGTATATCATTGCCTCCTGACATGCTCCAGGAGTGTTGTATCAGGAATCCTATTGTCCAGACTCTATATTCCATGCACTTCTAAATCCAATAGGTTGACGCCAACCCTTTCTTTTGCGAACACCCTAGATCTTCCAGACCTCTGGACCATATCCTCTAGAATAATCTCACAACCGACAACAAGTATCCGACGATGACTTCAGAGAATCCCCACTAACCAACACACTCCGATTTCTCTCCTGCGTCGAGGGGGGCACATCCAGCCCGGGATTCCCAGTAAAGAAGTTCACCGGCTTAATACCAACAACCATCCGATCCATCGGCATAACCGGCCAATCCTCGATTCGCGGATTATGAGTCGACCCAAACGTATGCCAGAGGACAATATCCTCATTACGGACAGACGTCTTACTACCATCGTTCTTGCGCCGCGTAATCGCCGAATGAATCCCCTCTCCACCGGTTGACTGCATCGTGTGCCGGCCAGCAGGGAACATCTCTTCATCGTCATACCGGGTAACCCAGACAGCGTGCGCGGCGTACTCGGATCTATGGGCGTGGTAGGAGTCCGGGTGTGCGAGGAGCATTTGGCTGTATGACGGAAGGAGTTTGAAGCCCACCGGTGTTCCTGTGATAGGGTTGATTGAGTGCTCGTTGATGATTTTGAAGGTGCGGTTTTTGGAAATGTCGAGGTCGAGCCCGGTTTCCTCGGTTATGATATTCGAGCTGGTGGTGTATCCCACGCCGAAGGGGTTTTGATCGCTGATAGGCATGGCGTGCGACTCTTCGACTTGCAGTGAGTTTTGGACATTTCCGTCGACCCAGGGATCCATCCGAAGACAGAAGAGGTGTTGGTGGTAGGGGGCTAAGACGCCAGGGGCGACGATAGTGCCGTAGGGGACTTTATCACCGAGATTGATAGGGCACGTGGATAGGATGCCTGTCGCGCGGACCTCGTAGTGGATGGACGCGTCTTGACTGAATTGGAAGGCGAAGATGTATTCGTAGTTGCTGACGGTGATGATAGTTTGCAGCACTAGGATGCGCGCGCGAGCTACTACTGCATTCTGCGTGCGGAAGTTGGTATGTTTCCAGAGGATGCCGTCATCTTGTTCGTGGCAGCAGACCACGTTAGGGAGTTTGAGGGGTTCTCCGGATGAGGTGTTATGCCACGCATCGAAGTACTTTATCAGCCCGAGACAGTCACATCCTAGACGCAGGTTGTTGGCATTAACACCTGCGCCATCGCTCCCCAAGTCGAAGGCTGCCTTTCGTGGATAGGGAGCGCGTGGGTCGCCATAGGGCACGAACATCTCGGCAAGGGAGAGACGGTAAAAGAGGCTCCGGCCATCGTAGCGGATATCATGTAGCGTGAGTCCTTCGCGGTAATTGAATCCCACACGCATAGTCCATTTCTCCCAAGAGATTTGGTTTCCTTGCGTGCTAAAAGAAGGACCTTCGGGCTGCACGACCTGGTAGGGCTTGGTGGTGTTGCGCGGTGGCGCCCGCAGACTGGGGTGGTACTCGCTATCCACCGTGGAATGGATTCGGTTGATATCAAAAGGCCGGGCCTGGTCACTAATCCGCTCCTCTTGGGAGGACGGCAGATAATATATTTTGGTGACTTTTAGTTCCTCTGACACCTCTGCGCACAGGTCCAGGGGGTATGCATAGTAGTTGGCGTCAGGGTTGTCTAGAAGCCGCAGGTAGAACCAGCACTACAACTTCCGTTATTCTTCGAAACAGGATAAACAATGGGATTTCTACTTACCATCGAAATTCTTTCGGACATGTCATTCATGCCATCTGTTCCATAGGCCCATGGCTCGACAATTACCGTCGAGTCGGCAGGCAGCTTGAGCTTCTTAATCTCATCCTGTACTTTCGGGTCCGCCAGACAAGCCGATTCGACCAAGCGCATATAGTCCGCATCGATGTAGGAGTGTCTTCCCACAAGATGCTCGTTCTTGATTACTTGCTTGCTATCCAGGTCCACTAGAAGCTCAATCAACTGGTTTTGGCCCTTGTCGCTACGCAGGACCACCTGGACACGAGAAATGCGCGCTGGTCGAGTGTTAAGTGGGAGGCCGCGGTCCTCATTCTCTAGAAATGGCAGCATCTCCAGCTTTGCGGGCTCCTTGAGAGTAATGAATCGGAATACTGGCGATTGTCCGGGAAAATGAGTGCGAACAATGGCCGTAGCCTAGGACCATCTCTTCGGTTAGCCACAAGAATGAGCTGGGCTGTAGGGCTAAGCTGTAGAACGGTGAATGATTCTCACCTCGGAGATCTCGGCTGGGGAGAGGGGGTCGAAAGGGTGCATGATGGTGGTCATTGCGAAGAATAGGCAGTCGCCAACTAGACTATGAGAGGATAGATTTACTAAAAGCGAGAATTCATCATTTCATTTAAATAGGCAATGCTCCAAGCCAAGGCCTCTCTGCTCTGGAGGGGGACTGATCGCTAAGGTTAAGAATAAGCGGTGGACTAGCGGGCTACATCCGCTAAGGGTAGGGACAGCCGGTCAAAGGTGAATCTCCAAATGTTAGCCTTCTTTTTATCTTTTGGAGTCGTGTCTTTTTGAAAGATAATAATCTCTAAAGGAAGGAACCAGCGATCCGGTTTTCCGTTGCCATCAGAGCCCCGCCTGAAGATTCAACTGTTCTTAGAAAGACTGACCTTGCCTCTTACATCTATGTAGTTCCTACCTAGGTATGTACCTAGGTAGACCCGAAAGACTTATATAATGAGTGCGGTACGAAGAGGACTAGACAAAATGCTTTTTAATGACACTAATCCAGTCAATCATACTTCTCAATATTACTATCATCCAAACTATACTTGTTTCCCAAGTCGAGAGCTTTAATCTTACCTTTTACGCCCAATATGTCTAGAGCCCTACCTTTCACGGTCAGTATCTCACATTCATCTCGATTGCCATGCTGAAATCGTCTTTCGCCAATGTAGCTGGACACGCCATCCCTCCTCCATGAGGCCTCCCTGCTAGATGGCAACTGGGTGCAATCTAGTTCCGGTCAAAGGTTCGAAGTCGAAGGTATACACCAATCCAGGCCATCTCGATCCTGTAGAAAACAGCCCCTTTCTAATCAATAGTCACTATGCAGACCCTGGTACGGCCAAGGTTTTTGCCTCCTGCCCAACCAACACCGTCGCCGACGTAGACGCCTACATCAAATCCGCACAGCGCTCATTCCTTACCTACCGAGCCACAAACCCGCGCGAACGCGCAAAGATGCTGCTGAACTGGCACGGCCTAATCAGCCGATCCAAAAACGACATCGCAACGCTTGTTGTGTATGAAACCGGTAAGCCCATTGCCGAGGCCCTCGGCGAAGTCGAGTACGCCCTGGGCTTCGCATGGTGGTTCGCGGGCGAAGCCGAGCGCATCCGGGGTTCAATTGCGCAGCCTTCTATCTCAGATAGAAGAAATTTCGTAATCAAGCAGCCGATCGGTGTCTGCGTCGCGCTTGTGCCATGGAACTTCCCCGTTGCGATGATCATTCGGAAGGCAGCAGCGGCGTTGGCTGCGGGCTGTACTATTGTCATTAAGCCGTCGCCTGAGACGCCGCTGAGTGTACTAGCTTTGGCGGATTTGGCGCTGCAGGCGGGATTCCCGCCGGGTGTAATAAATGTCTTGTCGACTGATAGTGCTCATACCCCTAGTGTGAGTGAGGCGCTTTGCAAACATCAACTTGTCCGCAAGGTGACGTTTACGGGAAGTACGACGGTTGGGCAACTTATTGCGCGGCATTGTAGTGAAGGGTTGAAGAAGGTTACGCTGGAGCTTGGAGGAAATTGTCCATTTATCATCTTTGATGATGGCGATTTGGACCAGGCGTTGGCGGCGTTAATGGTGCTGAAGTGGCGGACTGCCGGGCAGGCGTGTACACATGCAAATCGGGTATACGTGCAGAGGGGTGTGTATGACCGGTTCTTAAGCATGCTCGTTGATGCAACGAGACGGCTTCGTGTGGGACATGGCGCCGATCTTGAGACTACGATGGGCGCGCTGACAACTAAGTCTGGACTTGCGAAGCTGGAGCGTCACATTGCGGATGCTGTTGCGAAGGGTGGGAAGATCGTGCTAGGTGGTCGTCCACTGGAACATTTGGGAGGAAACTTCTTCCAGCCAACAATCATCTCTGGTATGTCGTCGGATATGTTGACTACGCAGGAGGAGGTATTCGGCCCACTGCTTGGACTGTATCAATTTGATACCGAGGAGGAGGCTGTCCGCATGGCCAATGACACAAACATGGGACTGGCTTCGTACTTTTTTACCAAGGATGTCAGTCGGACGTGGCGATTGTTGGAGAGTCTCGAGGCGGGCATGATCGGCATGAACACTGGTACGTTATGAATCCTGATTTTCGCAACTATTGATAATGACGGAGCTGCTCAAGGTAATTCGTCGGCAGCAGAGTCTCCCTTTGGGGTATCAAAGAGTCTGGTTATGGTAAGGAAGCTGGCAAGGATGTCGCGATCGAGGAATATCTGATCGCCAAAACGGGAACGTTGACGGTTGGGGCGATCGCATCGAAGCTGTAGATAGCAGATAGCGGAGCAGAGTTGATATTACGCGATTAATCTCGTCACTCTAATCTTGAGGTATCACTCAGATCGTTCGTAATCTGTGTATATTTCCAGAGATAGCAACAACAGCCCTTTGGGACGTTCTTTCCCCGCTATTTCCCTTTTGGGCACGTTGGTACTTTCCTGATTTGAACGTTCTGCCAAGCATTTCCCCCCTTTTCGTCATAATCGCACATCCATGGATGGATCCATGGATGGATCTGTCATTGCATATATGTTGTACATTCAAACAGGAAGAATTCTTAAGCCCACAGTCTCCAGAACCTCTCTCCAGTCCCTTGTCTCATCTTCACCTAGCTTCCCCCAAATACTACGCACGGTCGCATACTGCCGATGATAATTTCTCATACTGTACACTTCCAGCCGCCTCCACCATTTGTCCCAGCTGCGGCGCTCTTCCCCAACAGCTTCACACGACGCCACGAATGCCGGCCACGTGATCGGCGCCGGAAACGAGGTGTGTTTACCGAATGAAACCTTCAAGTCTTCGGCTTCATTCATCGCGGCGAGGACCGCTTGTTGTTCTTGGTGAAGGCAGCTCCTAGCACATTCTTGGATGGAGCGGTAGTAATAGATCAGGGCGGCGTTGTGGAAGGCTTTCGCCTGGGCTCGCGCGATATCCACCATATATGCCTCTGCCTCTGAAGAGTCGATAGTTGAGAATAATTCGGAGGTTATGGTGTACGATCCTAGATCGTCTGCAAGTGTCTCGCAGGCCTCGAGGAGAGTCTCCGGGTACTCCTGTCCCTGGGATCTGTAGTACGCGACATACTGCGAGAGGCGATAGATCCTAAAGATTGCTCCAGCGATCGATATCGTGATCCCGTAGAGAAACTCAATGCTAGGCTCTAGGGAGTAGAAGTCCGCGCCCCGGGGGACGTAGTCATAGCCCGGCCACGGTTTGGGTGTCCGATGGGGAAGCGTCGTCTGGCCGAATAAGTGCAGCATCTTGCAGATATTATTCAGGAGACAGGTTTCGTGACTAACTAACATGGCATAGTGTCTCGAGGCCTGTAGTTTAATCCCTGCCTCTAAGTGGATCCAATGGTCGGACATGCCGCCGTCCATTATCTTCACGAACATTAATTCAGGGTGTGACACTATACTTCGAGGTCAACTCACATCTGCGGATACCAGAGACAGTATTGCGGCCATGATATCTTTGTAAGGAGTCGACTTTGTTGCAAGCGTACTCTGAAGTGCAATGAGAGCGCGCTGCTTATGATGGCAGGCTAGTCGTTCGAGGGCTTCTTGATCAGCTTCCATGCTCTGCAAATTGACAGCGGCAATAGATAAGACACCGTGGAAAACTGCAACGCTTGCTGAGTGAAGCTGGTTCCAAGATTTTGGGAGGTCTAGTTGGGATGAGCCGTGGAGCGCAAGGGGAAGATATACAGTCTTCCAGGGATTCCTTGGGTGAGACACCGGTTGCATGAGATGTACCACATGTTGCATATAGTGGTGCATCAACATCGATGCTGTCGTATCCTCCATAATAGTTAATGCCAGATCATTTTCAAAGAGTATAAACCCTAGGTCCCCAGGCGCGCTTTCCCGGGGCGAATCACCATTTCGCTCCATCCAGCCCGGACTTTGCGAGACGGTGACATCAACGCCTCGGGAAGTCGTCGCAATTCCATGGCTGGTAGGGCATAAATAATCAGGCTGGTGAGATAAGCTTGTAGTAGTGTTAGTCCTTGTATTCACGACAGGAGCATCATCCGGGGACTCCGTGGCGAGAGCTCCGATCGGTGTTTCTGCCTGATCTTCGCCCACACATACGTCGCTAGGCGGTACCGTCGTGTCTACAGTGGACTCCGGAAATTGAGGCGAATCAGATGTGGTTTGATATGGCGAACCCACCATAGGGATGATGGGACTGTTGATAGTGCGCTGGTTAGTCTCTTCCGAGCCGCCCATTGCAGTATCGCCAGAATTCGGGCTGGATGAATGATCGCTAGTTCTGGTAGATGCAGAGTGAGTCTGAAAAACCGAAAAAGGGCCAACAGTTGTCGTTGCGGCAGGATCCGTCGCCGTTTTCTCGACTGTGGTGAGAGCTCGGGTCACCTCACTATCCGTCATCGGGGCACAGGAACCTCTGTCTAAGCCTCTGCCATCAGTATCTGCTTCTCCTGCGCATGGGTATGCAACTCGAAGATTTCCATACGGACCTGACCGAATGCGCCGCCTGCTGGTGTTAGGGCCTGCGTTCCAAACTAGTCGTACGTCGTACCCGGCGCAGGTCAGCTTTGCCTGCTCACATGTCTTGCAGCCAATGGGCCTTTCATCGCATTTAATCCGGCGTTTTCGGCAAGTCCAGCAGCTGCAGGTCGTCGCGTTAGATCAAATAGAGAATGTGGCAAAATCGGAGTTACCCTGTGTAAGATATTGACTTGACGGGTTTGGTCCTTTGCCGCCCCTCCAAGTCCCAGACGAGTTTTGCCATGGTTGTATGGTAGGAGACAAGCATTGAGATGCCGTTTCGGAGGCATTTTCACTATCTTGAAGTGCGGGGATTGGCTCGGATATGATTGGAAGGGAATACGGGCAAAACTACTTAGGTAGATAGGAAAATAGATAAAGAGAGAAGGCGATGTTAGTGAGCAAATTGAGACTCCTGTGTTAATATTTTCATACAACATAGACACCTCGAATTTGAATGGGGTGTTTCCCTTTTTATCCTCCCTCGTTAGCTCCTTCCAGTTTTGGTTCAGTCTTCCACGTCAACATCAGCTGGGCAGCTTTGGCCGGGAAGTGTCATCCTTATAAAAATTAAAATTAAAAAAAAGCTCATCGGATATCTTTTTTAGCCGACATGGAGGTATAAGATCAAGCTCCGCCGCTTGTATATTTCCAGGTATAATCTATGCATACACCTACTCGCCAAAGATCAACATTATTCTCACCATGGACGGTCTCCAGTATACTACCAAACACGACGTTACCATCGACGACGTCGTCTCCCTAACTCAGACCATGGTGCAGATCGACTCCTCGACCCCCGGGTCTGGTTCAAATACAGCCGGCGAGACGACCATGGCGCAGTTTATATGCGCATGGCTTCAACACCGCAACATCGAATGCCACTGGATTGAAGAGACCCCAGGGCGTCCATCAGTCATTGGTGTCGTCCGAGGATCAGGAGACGGAAAGGCTCTTATGTTCAACGGACACACCGATACCGTCACTCTCCAAGGTTATGACGGGGACCCGTTAAGCGGCCACATAGCCAACGGCAGGCTCTACGGACGCGGATCAGCCGACATGAAAAGTGGCATGGCAGCAGCAATGATTGCGACTGCCAGTGCGGCTAAGTTGAATCTCCGAGGTGATGTGATCCTCGCGGCCGTGGCGGATGAAGAATGCGATAGTATCGGTACAGAACAAGTGCTGGCGGCCGGCTGGCGGGCAGATGCTGCTATTGTTGCAGAGCCGACTGACTTCGCCATCATTAACGCCCACAAAGGATACGTTCTCCTAGAGGTTGACATCCACGGTGTTGCCGCCCACGGCTCTCGCCCAGACCTCGGTGTCGATGCCATCTGCAAGGCCGGATACTTCCTCGTCGAACTGGATCGCTACGCTCAGAGCCTTCCGCAACGTTCTCCTACCGGAGTCGAAATAGACGCCCCAAACGTCCATGTAGGTATTATCAGAGGCGGCGCCGAGATCAACTCCTACCCTGCGAAATGCACAATCTCTATCGAGCGGCGCACCGTCGCAGGCGAGACCACGGCATCTGTGGAAAATGAGCTGCGACCCATTCTAGAAAAGCTCGAATCAACGGTTCCTGATTTCACGTTTGAGCTTCGTACGACCTCTTACCGGCCTCCTTACTCGATTGCATCTGATCATCCCTTTGTCAATCTTGTCGTTGAACACGCCGTGAAGACAACGGGCATGGCACCGCCAATTAAGAGCGAGACTTATTGGACCGACATGGCGTTGCTTTCTGAAGCAGGAATTCCGGGCGTGATCTGGGGGCCGAAGGGCTGTGGATTGCATTCCAAGGAGGAATCGGTTGAGGTTGAATCTATTCGCCAACTTGCAGACTCGTTTATAGCTATCGCGGCGAGCTATTGTCAGGGTTGAGGATCTTATAGCAGTTGCATGTCCATTTTAGTTTCTTTGAGTGTACTGGTACCCACGTAGCTAATAGACATGGTTCTTGAAGCAGCGAGGCACTCTTAATGTACTAACACACCAGCAATCCTACCGGTGATCCTAGGAGCAAATTTAGAGCCAACCATACCATACTGCCTAGTTAGATGAAAATGGAGCTTGCTTCAAAGTACTTCCGTAATCTTAAACTGCTTTTCTCTGTGTCTCTTCTTCGAGTAGATACATATCCGGAGCACCCATTGAATCTAGACAAGCTGAGTCGGGTCCCCAGGGGGAGCCGAAGGCTGATATTCGGAAAAGTCATACTCGACATCATAATCCTCAGCATCAACATCGCCATCAGAGAGTTCCACATCCCGAAGGTTCTCACCCTCATCCTCTTCCTCTGCCGTAAATCCATAGTCCTCCTTCTTCACCTTCTTCCAAGCAGCGATTGTTTGTTTCCGAGTAATATGGAACGGCAACTTGGAGAGCGAGACGCACCCGTCCTGCGTAACCTCGACAGTTTGGCCAATGGAGCTGGCCGTATCGGTGGCCTTGTCCATAAGGATAATATGAATGAAAAACACCATTCCTGGCTGTGCAATTACCTTCTGGCCTCGGACAAACATGGGGAAGTCCATCCAGGTAGGCGCAAAAGTAGCGCCTAGGCTGTAGCCACAGGCATTAAATCGTTGGTCCTTGAATCCATTCTCATCGGCCACTCTCGCGTAGGCTTCGAACACATCCTCAATCGCGCGGCCCGGCTTCAATGCAGCCATCGCAGCTTCCATCTGCAGGATATTGACTTCAAACATTCGTCGGGCTAGTGCAGTAACACCACCAATGTGGATGGTTCGCATAAGGCAGGCGTGGTAGTGCTTGTAGACGCCAGCATGTTCCAAGGTGAGTTGGCGTTCGATAGTTGATTTCCCGGCCGAATAGCGAGTCAGGACAGCCTTGTTCCCCGAAACGAGAATGTTTTCATTTGCGGGATCATCGCCACCACCTTCGTAAACTGTACCGACGATTTCCCGCCATAGATCCCCCTCGTAAGCTCCAGGCTTAGCCAGTTTCAACGTTCTGATAAGTGCGAAATCAGCCAGATAGGCTGCCTTACGGATCTTGCGTAGTTCAGCTGGGGACTTAACAATCCGCAGTTCGCGAGTGAACAAGTTGCTATGGTTGACCAAACTGCACAAACCAGCCACAGACTCCTCTAACAATTTTCCAACCTCGAGGGTCAAAGTTGCAGAGTTAGGCTCATAGCCGATGCGTTTAGATGGCGAGTTGATGCCGAATTCTTTCATAACAAGTGGCACCAAAGAAACCGGGTTGCTGTCGGCATCATCCGATCGTATCATGATATCGTCGTATGTCAAGACAGAGGTGTAGAGAGCCTGTCGAAGATCGGGCATACGTGTTATCAACTTTTTCGAGCCATCCTTGTGGAAGTACATGGCTTGGAAGAAGACGTATCCGAAAGTGTCATATCCAGTGAGGTAGTAAAGGGTTTCTTGTTTCGTAATCAGGAAGCCATCGAGTTCCTCTTGCTTCATGAGTTCGAGAGCGCGTCGCTGTCGCTCCTCAAACTCTTTTTCAGAGAAATGAAGTGCCTTTTTGAACGGTTGGGGCTTCTTCAAGATGGCCATTTTGAGTTTCTTTGCAAGGCAAATGTCAGAAGGATGGGTTGATAGCAGAGGGCGGAGGGAATATTCGACCTTTTATCACTCTCTTTAGTTTCAAACTTATACTGAAGGTGCTCTTATGTATTTTGCGCATACTACTATATCGTTGTCTCTTACTCAAGTTGCCAGGCAACCTTGGAAGTCTATCTCGGAGCAAATCCGGAGTCTTGCCTCGCCTTAGGGAACTGGCGAATGCGGCAAGAACCAACGAACAATACACTAACCGCATCAGGAATGGACTACTCCGGAGACTGGGGAAAGAGGCGCCACGCTGCAAGGGCCATTCCAAGGTTTGGTATGGTACGCCCATACACCCTTATGTGGGTCATATCATAAAGCATAAAGCGTTGCCTTTTAGAAACTACCTATCAAGGTAGATAGCTATGTGGGATTAAATGTACCCAGGTTGTGTATGTTGTGAATTATCCCCGCAACTCGTGAAATTTTTGCGGGGTATCTTTGGTTTAAGGTTCCACGGAAACTTGGAAGGTTAAGTGGTTCCAGGGTTACATGTGGGATCATCGCGATAAGCTGAACATAGCAAGAACGAGCGTTCCAAATAAGGCTTGGCCTTATCTTCGGATTCAGTGTCCTTAGATAGTGCATGGCTAACGTTCGTCATTTGAATGTGTTCAGCGTTTATACAAAAGTACGCCCTCCAGCTTGGCTTGCAATTTGTTCCAACGCATCTACCATTACTTACCACTTTACATACCCACTTAGTCTCTCTAAGTCCTGCCTTCCTATCCATCATGGCAATAGAAGACTATGAGAAGAAGGGCCAGCATGGAACCGACTTAGCCAGTACTGCGAGCGCTGACATCGTTCCCATTGACATGTCTGAGCATGGTACAATGAAGCGTGCATTGAAGCCGCGCCATTCGCAGATGATAGCCCTAGGAGGCTGCGTCGGTATGTTATCCACAAAGCAGAATAGGAGTCGTTGTTTAATACATTCCTCTAGGAACGGGCCTTTTCGTTGGCACCGGGGCGACGTTGGCTTTGGGCGGACCAGCCTTCCTGCTCACTGCTTTCATTGTTCTAATCTTTTTGGTTTATATCATTGTGACGGCAATTGTCGAGATGGTGGCCTATCTTCCAGTCGGTGGTGCTTCACTGTCGTACTACGGCACTCGGTACGTCTCTAAAAGTCTGGGCTTTGCGATGGGATGGCTCTATGTCTATTCTTTGGGCATCCTGGTTCCGTATGAAATCACGGCAGGTGCCTTGGTCATCGACTACTGGGATAGGTAAGAGATCCGACACTCCGCGTTATCATCCAGAAATAACAGTTCCCCGCAGCCCGGTCAATGTAGCAGTCTGGATCACCGTCTTTATGGTCCTCATAGTCGGCCTGAATTTGCTACCTGTGGAATACTACGGCGAGTCAGAGTTCTGGTTTTCGACCATCAAGGTCTTCACAATTATTGGGCTGTTGATCCTCTCAATTGTGCTGTTCTGGGGAGGAGGGCCTAAACAGTCCGGCATCCTGGGCTTCCACTACTGGAAGGACCCCGGTCCTATAAACACTTGGCTGGTCGATGGAGCAGGTGGCAGGCTCGTGGCATTTGTTCGGACCCTTGTCCTGAGCGCGTTCCCTTTTACATTTAGCCCAGAGCTACTTATTGCCACAAGCGGAGAGATGCAGAATCCTCGAAAGGACCTCGGAAAAGCCGCCAACCGCTTCGTTCTTCGTCTAATTGTGTTTTACCTTGGCACTGTCCTGGCAATTGGCGTTATTTGTCCTTCCAACGACAAAGACCTCGTCAGCAGTGGCAGCAATGCAAAGGCCTCCGCTTTTGTCGTTGGGATCAAGCATGCCGGGATCCATGGCCTTGGAAGTGTTGTTAACGCCGCAATCCTCACGACTGCCTGGTCCGCTGGCAACGCATATCTATATATGAGCTCACGAGCTCTTTACGCTCTGGCAATTTCTGGCCAAGCACCCAAGATCTTCCTTCGCTGTACCAATAGAGGAGTGCCCTACGCTGCAGTTCTAGCATGCAGCTCCTTCGGTGTCCTGGCCTACCTCAACTGCGCTAGCAGCAGCTCTACCGTTTTTACCTGGTTCGTCAATATCACCAACACCTCTGCTTTTATCTCTTGGGTGTGCTGCTGCATCGTGTACCTACGCTTCCGATCCGCCTACAATACGCAGGGCAAACCCGAGCTTCCCTACCGCAGCTGGACCCAGCCGTATGGTGCATGGTTTGCTTTATTCTTCTTTATTCTTCTAACCCTTATAAATGGCTTTAATGTCTTCTTCCCGGGACAGCTTTCGGCATCGAGCTTTTTCACGGCTTACATCGGCATTCCTGCATTTATGGTCACCTACGCCGGTCATAAGCTGTTGAAGGGGCGATCTGATCCGTTGTGGATCACTTCTGATGAGATTAATATTTGGGAAGGCTTGGAAAATGTACATTAGTGACATATTGAGGCACCTTGGTTGGGTCAAAGAGCGGAAGATGTAATCATAGTCCCATCATTGACATGGGGGGGTTTATCTACTGGAAATATAATACCTACACAAGTAGGTAGCAGGCATCTTTAAATATATGTTGTAGATAGCCGCAGATATACAACCCTTGGAATGTCATTCAGAGACCCGCTTCCATTACCTACCTAGCTAGGTAGATACCTATGTAATTGATTTCACGGCTCCACTCTCCGACCCCACCGTTCCAAGATTGAAGGAGGTTTGAATGTGGAATTGGCTCCGTAGCTAAGAAAAATGCCGAACTATAACCTTAAAATAAGGGGTGAATCCCGAGATTTGGCCTTTGTCTCTAGACCTTCTACATGAGTATTGTATAGATATACTTCGATATAAATTGTACATATACTTCGATTCTATATCGAAGGCCCAAAGCGTCTGACATGAAAATTTCTCTATGCTCCCATAGTCAGCCCCCTTTACACCGTCGATGTGTTTCTTCTCTTCTGGTCAAAACTCTTCAACCGCCCCAGTTTCACCATCGTCTTATGTGTCTCCTGTTGTCCAGTAAACGGGGTGTCCTAAGGGAAACTGATTGGTCTGAATGCAGTCCAGTTATGCTCTGCGAATTGCACGAAACACGTTCTGTACATGCGGGCTACTGACTGGCCACATTCGGGTACCTGAGGTGCTTTTGCTATGATCTCTACGGATACAGACTGTACTCTCCTGAGTTCTCCACTGTCCCCCCAAGAGCAGATACTCGTGCTCTTTGAGCCAATTCTTTGTTCTTTTTACAAAGGTAGCCCTCCGTGACCCAGTGCATATTCCCTCTCGTGTCTGTCCCTATTTGTCTGTTCATGGTCCAGCCAGTCCAGCCAACCCCCTGAGCTGTGCGACTAATAATGAAGTAAGAGTACGCTTCCACATACTTCACAGTTATAAAGCATAGTAGAATAGACTTAACCAGCATTTCTGGGAAGGCAATCGTCGTTTAATCCGCCCATGGTCCGTCAACGGTCACTCTTCCAGAGCCCATGAGTGAAAGATGGAATATGGGAGAGTAAAGTCCGGCTTGAAGCTACACAACGAGACTAAATACCAGTACTTTATCTCTAATTCCTGTCAACGCAATTGTGCGCCCTTCGTTTTAAATATTGGGTTTCAATCGAAGTTGGCCTGGTCATGACGGGAACCTTGAGAAGTCGCTGACTATGGAAGAGGCTGCATGGCTTTCGAATAGCTGCAGTCAGACTTCCTTCTAGGATTTTGGGGAGCTGCTTGTACCAAAATTTACAACGGGTCTCTACTATAGCAGCCAAATGTATCTTGTTATCTCACAATTTGGCTTACTCGCCACTTCGACTCGTACAGACCAGGAGAAGATATATATACCCATCAGTATAGGGGCTCTAAAAGTGCCCGATATGACCAGGGACTGTGTCACAGTGTTTCAAGATCCATTTCTGAAGGACATCTGCCATCATTTATCTGGCATCCCTCCAATTTTAAAAGCTGCCTTTTGTTCCACATGTTCACCTGCCGGTCCTTAAGAGGAGTCTCCACTAAAAAGCCGCTCATCGTCTTCTGACGGTTTCCTCGCTGTTCGATTGTGTGCCGTGCCCGCAAGATCGCCCTCGGTCCACCAACAAGTGCCCCGCCCTTGTCCCATCCTCTCCATCCTTCTGGATTGTGTGAAGTGCCCGAAGACCCGTTCTCGGGTCTTTTCCAACTTCAACCCTCAGAATATCCCATCTTGAAGAAGAACAGTGCTCTGTATGTAGGTATGTACTGCAATTTTAAAAGGGAGTAATATCCCGAAATTGCTTCTAATGACTCCATGTAACATCTGTGTACTGAATCAACTCACAATGTCCTGATTATTAATTTAAGCCAAAGATCCCAGCTATTCTATGGAAAATTACTCAATCAAAACCAATTCAAAAGGATAGTCAAATTAAGCATGGGAGAGGCTTAGCATCGCATCTATGGTTCGGGTGATCGGAAACCCAGTACCATGGGACCAGCGGACACAGGGATGTTCCAAATTTACCTGGGCACTTTATATTGTACCGACCTAGGTAGGTACCTTAGGACTACTTCATACAGAGGCAGTTAGTATCATATAGTACAACAGGGTACAATGGACTCCAAGGAAATGTCTGGAAGTCGAACCTTGCACTAATCTCACTAACACCCACTATCTCCCCCCTCCGACGTCACAGGTAGATGCTGTTTCCACTGTAACCCACTCGCTATAGTCAACGTCGTGGATTAACCGGCTTGGCAGGGGAGATGCGAATCCCGAATAATAATTTTGGGGTTTTTTTGACTTTTTCTTTTGTTCCATCTAATAATATTCCTCGGATTCTTTTCTGAGTTTCTGTTTCGTTTTAGTTGTTCCCCTTTGCCCATTTAGTCCGGCCCCCTCCTTTCTCCCGTCCTTCGCCTTCCCCTCCCCCTTTCATTCTCCTGAACCTGCGGGGAGACCTTTTCTTTCTTTCACATTCAAAATGGCTGACGCCAAAAAACCCGCCGTCCTGATTGTCGGTGGCCTCGGTATGTCTTTTTTGGTCTTAATAGGATTCCTTTCCGACTGACATTCCCCGTCTTCAGGCTTCATCGGTCGACACCTCGCGCTATACATCCATGAGAACAACCTAGCCTCGGAAGTCCGTTTGGTAGACAAAGTCCTGCCACAATTGGCCTGGTTGGCTCCAGAGTTCGAAGAGGCATGCTCCAAGGACAAGTTCGTCCAGGCAGACGCCAGCCGTGAACGTGAGTGGCCCGGCCAATTCCCTCCCAAAACAAATTCTTACCTTCCCCTGCTCCCACAGAACATTTCCCGCGCATCTTCGACCGAGCCAATGGCGAACAATTCGACTATGTGATCAACTGCGGCGGCGAATCACGTCACTCCCAACCAGACGATGTCTACGAAGTGCGCAGCTACGCCCTCTCCGTCGCGCTCGGCAAGGAAATTGCCCGACGCGGCATCCCCGCCTTTATCGAGACCTCGACCGCGCACGTCTACAAGGGCGGCTCAACGCCACGCAAGGAGACCGACAAGCTCGCCCCGTGGCACAAGCTAGCCGCGTGGAAACTCAAGGCTGCAGAGGAACTGCTTAAGGTCCCAAACCTGCAGTACTGCGCGCTACGTCTACCCCACGTCTACGGCGCCTATGACCCGGGTTACTTCGCCACGGGCATTTGTCTGTCCGCCGTCCACGTCGATCTCAAGCAGGACTTGGAATTCCTGCACACAAAGGACTTGAAAATTAACACCCTGCACGTCAAGGACGCTGCCAGCGCGCTGTTCGAGGCTGCCAAGTGGCGCGCCGCGAAGGGCTTCATCGACCCCAAGGAAGGTGTTGTTACCTTCAATGTTGTCGATCACAACGATACGAAACAGGAACATGTCGCCAACGCCTTGACAGAGGTGTTCGGTTTCAAGGTCTCGTTCATTGGGTCGCTTGCTTCGCAGCTCGCCAAGCTGAACCTCGACGATGTCCTTGATGATATGAATGAGGTCGGTCTGCAGACCTGGGCTGAGCTCGTCGAGAGGGCCAATATCACCCGGCCTGGACCAATCAGTCCGTTCCTGGAGCGTGACATTGTCCGGGACCAGGATATGTCCATTGACGGGTCGAAGTTCGAGAATGAGACTGGCTGGAAGCCATCGTACCCGAACTTCGGGGCTGACAGTATCCGCGAAATCGTGGACAGCTACAAACGCATGGGCTGGTGGCCATGAGAGAGGATTCCACTGGTTTTCTGATCTTTCGTCTTTCGTCTTTTTCTCTTTTTCTTTTCAAGATATCCCGTCCCGTCGGTTATTTTACACTTTCTATCCCCCCATGATTCATTAACGGTCTCCCCTACCCGATGAGGAAAATCGATCATCTCATCGCATTGTGTCTGAAAAAGGATGCATTGAATCCCCTACGACACGACCCTCTCATGATATGCATCTCCATACGCTCTCCTGTCCACTTTTCCTCTCCGACTACCTCTGAAGCTATTTATCCAGACAGACCTGTTTAGCATCGCTAGGTGTGAATCGACCTTGTACTGTAATTGATAATTGCTGTTATATGGGGGGTTTTCTCTTATTGTTTTCTGCATATATGTTTCTATTCTGGTTTCTCCCCTCGTTTCTTTTGCATGGCCCTGCATTGGCAGCATATTGAGCCCTTCCCCCATTTCTTTGATATTATATTTCCATCTCAATCCAACTTTCTCTTACGTACTTTTGGTCTGTATCTATTAGACATAACTGATCATACAACCCACAATGTACTTTTCGTGCTAGCAATACAGCGCTAGTTCCATTCTTGTCATGCATCGTGCATAGACCCTGCAGATATGTTGTGCAGGTTCCGCAGAGAAAATATCCACAACCCAGGTCTTATATCGAGGTCTAACTACATTCGTACACACAGGCCTACATGCCACTACAGGAGGCAGCATTTAAATGACTTGTGCCAAATTTGAATAGGAACGATTGAATCAATTATTCGACTTCTAACCTATGACCGAAATGACAAAGAGCAGCGGAACAGGAACTGTGCAAGGTTCCGACTGCCATGCATGTGTGTGCATTTGAGCAAGCGATTCAGCCAACCGAGTCAAGGGGTCTTTCGTGATGCTTCTTTTTTTAGGTTTTTCTTTTTTTTTCTCCCTCGTGTATACTGGCGTATACCGATCTTATCGTACCCACGGCCGCCACTAATGCAGGCTCGCAATTTAAGCCAAGCCCTTCTGTAATGAGAACCATGAAAATGCCAATGGCAGTCGCAGTTCTTTCTCAAGCACGCGAATGCAACCAGGGATCGGAATAGATCAATGGCTAAATTTGAAAGAATCGTTAAAGCAAAAGAAAAACAAGTCGTCCTGCCAAGGCAGACTGAGCGGAACCGAAAATATTGTACGAAGAAAGTAATGTGCGCAAAAAACGGAAATCGCAACCGAGTAATCAAGGTGACGGGTGGTAGATTAGAATTCCCAATCCTCATCAACAGACTTGATGGCCCATTCGAACTTCTCACGCAGCGCCTTGGAGAAAAATTTTTCGATGGGGACGTCATATTTCTTGCTGAAGACGACAGTGAGGCGAGGATCAATGTAGTTCTAATGGGAATGGTTAGCTGGTGATATTGTAAGAATCAGACCAGGAGAAACTCACAATCTTCGAGGTACCTAGGGCAACCTCTTTATTGTCTTCCTTGTCCTGGGCCTGGACGGACATCGTTTCGACCCGCTGGTCGATCTTGTTGATGGAATTCTCAAGCTTTTCCACCGTTGCACCTCGAGCCTCGGCCTCGACCTTGCCGGTTTTGTTCTCCTTCTTGAACTTCTTCTCCAACTCCTTCACAGCCTGTAGGCGCTCCTCGAGCTCCGACGCCTTCATTTCCTTCTCGCCATCAGCAACGCGCTTTTCGTTGTCCTTCTCGAACTTCTTGTTGATCTTGTTTCTCTGCTCTTCAATCAAAAAGGCTTGGTGTTCTTCGATCCATTCTTTGTCGAGATCCTCATCGATTTCGAAGAACGCCGCACCCTTCTTCTTCTTAAGAGTTGGGTCCAAGTCAAGCATTTGCTGCTTTAGTCGCCACTTCTGGTATCGAAGGCCCTTGATCTGCGTAGTCAAACATACGTTAGCTCTGTGCCTCTCGCCATGAAGGCGGAATAGAGAAAACTCACCCGTTCACCCATCTTTTCCATTGCATTGGCATGGCCAGCAGTGACAGTACGCTTGTGGTTACACAAAATGGCAACCTTACGGTTGGCATCATTGTATGCTTTCACCTTTTCGGCGATGGTACCGCCAGAAGCATTCATCTCGTTGAGAACACAGCCCATGGTATAAGACGCGTTGTACGTACGGAAAACCTTGGCGGTTAGACCTGGCATGTAGTTGGCAAGATGCTTATTGAGGGCAGACGTCTTTTATTTGTCAGTAACATCCAAGACTGCACGAAAAACGGAGAACATACCGTAAGGCGGTCGAAAATTTCATCGCCATTCTTCTTGGGTGCCTTTTTGAAGATCTTCAGGTTCTTGAAAACTTGCAGATCGACCTGAACTTCATCGTAGAAACGAATACTATCCTTACCCAAGAAATCGAAGACAACAGTGTTTGGAGGCTTCAGGGTAACATTCTCATACTTCAGAGAACAGCAACCGACGGTTTCAGCCTCGTCTTCACCTTTCTCGTTTCCAGCACGCAGGGCAAACTGATCAATAAGATAGACTGCCGTGGCCTTCTGCCGTTCCACCATCATATCATGTTTGAGGTTCTTCTGATAATCCTTACGGATTTTCTCGATGTGCTTCTTGAGTTCACGGGCTTTCTCGAATTTCTTGAAATCGCTTTGCCCCTTGACATCGGAATTGGCAGCTAACATGACGTACTTGTAGTTGCCATTGATATTTTCCTGCCACATGGCAAGCCAGGTGCCTTCCTGATCATGCTTCACCTCCTTCCACTTGTGCCCAGGAGGTGGCGGTGGGACCTTCGCATCTTTGCCGATGTTGATAGTGATTTGCTCAGGTTGCACACGTGTCTTGACACGCCCGGTCTTCGGGTGCTCACCGCGGCCCCGGAACAGAGAAGGCGGTTCCACACGGAAGTTGCCCACCTTTTGCTTGCGGCCATCCCAGATACAGTACTGGTAGGGGGCTTCTTGCTCATCCTTCAAAGCCTTAGCAGCCTTCTTCTCTGCTGGTGGCAAATTTCTCTTTTCCTCACGCTGGGCATCGTAGAATTCGAAGATAGGCTTGAAGTCGCATTTGGCAAACTCCTTGATGTCTACCTTGTTGCCCTTGGAATCCTTCGCTCCGCCGCTCTTCTTGATGACATCTTTGAAGTCGCTGAAGAAGTTCTTCTGGAACACAGGGTTTTCCACATTGTGGGTTGAGTTTAGCATGGTTCCAAAGAAGCTAGCAACCTCTTCGGCTTCAGGTGCAAGAGTGACCGGAACACCGTCGTATTTCATCTTGACATTCTGAGGCAGCAGTTCGTATTCGGGGGGGAACACCACGCCATTGTGTTCCAGAGTTGTCCACTTGATGGTTCCATCGCCCTTGCTTTGGTCTTCCCACCAGCGGTACTCCTCCTCCTCTTCTTCCTTTTCTTCGGCATCCTGGCTTTCTTCCTTCACCTTCGCTTTGCCCTTCTTGGGGGCCGCTTTGCTGGCGACCGGCTCTTTCTTGACGCCGTTTGTCTGTTTCTTGGCCGCCGCAGGCTTAGCCTCTTTCTTTGGTGCAGCAGGTTTGCGCGAAGGTTTAGCCTCCGCTGATTGTTCAATTTTCTTCTTTTGCGCGGCAAGCTTCCGTTCAATGGGGACGTCGGAATCAGACTCACCCCCGATGGATGTTTCGGCGGGCTTGGGAAGTTTGCGTCCGTTGCGTGCCAAGGGGACATCGTCATCGGTCTCGGGGTCTTCATGCTTCACAGATGTACGTCGGCGTTTGCTCTGTCGAATGGTCAGACGCTTCAACCGAAAGCAACACAGTATAGTCGCACTGGGAATAACAGAGGTCATCCCGGGGGTAGGCGTACCAAAGGCTCATCTTCTTCACTGCTTTCTGCTTCTGCATAGGACTTCTTTTCGCCCACACTGGTCCGAGACTTGCGCTTACCAGCACTCAGCGCATCTTCTCCATCTTCCATCTTCACATCCTTGTCTTCCACAGGACCAAATCGGATGGATATTCCAGGATCAACATGGCCGTTTGTGGCAGGGCTGGAATCCGCCATGTTGACGACCTCGGGGGACTTTGGGGAAACTAGAAGTGCAAAAAACGAGGTTAGGATGCCGCTCGAGTTATGTTAAAGTGCGAAGAAAGTGACGTCAAAGTGCGAGATGCAGCATCTAGAACTGATCTACAAGAAAAGTACAATTGCGTAGAGGGTAGAGATATGGAGTGAGAGGATGAAGTGCAAGTAGAGCGAAGGTCCGCGACAAATTGTATAGGAGCGTAATCACAGCCGAATCACCCGAGGAACGCACCTTTAACACGTCCATTGGCGCGCATGAGCGGTGCATCGTCCTCCGAGGAGCTCATGGTGGTAAGCCTTGGACTAGCAATAGGGAGACGAGGGTAAAATGAGAGAGCTCGGTGTTTTGGTACGGGGAGGCGTCCTCGTGCGCCGAGTCGGGCAAATCCAGCCGCCTGGTAGAAGGAAAGTAGGGAAATTCTGACCAATGAAGAGTAAGAATATGGTTATAAGATCTGCTGCATCAATGATACATGCAAAGGGGGGATGTTGCGGGTGAATCGGCGGAATAAAGAAGATGAGTGAGAAAAGATGAGACGAAACAGAGGAAAAGGTTGGGGGGACTTGGAATGGAGGAATGCAATGGGAAAAGAGGCCCTGAGGGACTACAAAATTGGTGCCTGAGGCGTTAAGTGATGTTATGTAAATATTAATGCCTAAGGCATCACTGCGGTGGAAGTCGGAATGGCGCACCGTAGATGCTTTCCCTTTCTGGTTTAGCGGCAGCACGGAGACAGAACCTCCCTGGTTCTCAACTTCCTTCCCGACCAGCGAGGCATCCCCGTCTAACCTTCGTCACTCCCCTCCTCTCCGCAGTCACTATCTGCTCGATCATTTTTACTCTTTAAATCTCTCGCATAATGTTCTCCCGTGCCGTCCGCCCGGCCCTGCGGGCTGGTGGTGCCGCCGTCGCTCGGTAAGTCTTCATCCGATACCTCGTGCCAAAGTCCTTCCACCCGACGTACTCCGACGCAACCACCTCGACACCATTGAAACTGGAAGATATGCTGGATATTAGAGGAGGCGAGAGCGACAATTGCTGACTTCGAAATCAAGCCCTGCCCCCGCCAATGCCGCCACCTTCGCGACTCTGCGTGAGATTGAGGGTCGTCTCAAGTCCATCAAGAACATCGAGAAGATCACCAACACCATGAAGATTGTTGCGTCCACTCGTCTTACTCGTGCCCAGAAGGCCATGGACGAATCTCGCGTCTATGGTAAGACCTCCAACACCGTTTTCGAGCAGGCCGAGACCAAGCCTCTAGAGGACAAGAAGGTTCTTCTGGTTGTTGCCAGCTCCGACAAGGGTCTTTGCGGTGGTATCCACTCCGGTCTGAGCAAGGCCACCCGCCGTATTTTGGCCGACACCCCCAACGCCGATGTTGCTATTCTCGGTGAGAAGGCCAAGGCTACTCTGTCCCGTGTCGCTCCCGAGAACATCGTCTTGAGCTTCGCCAATGTCTGCAAGGACATCCCCACCTTCGCCGATGCCCAGGCCATTGCCGACCAGATCGCTCTCCTGCCCGAGGATTACGCCAGCGTTCGCATCATCTACAACTCTTTCGTCAACGCTCAGGCCTACGAGCCCGTCACTATCGAGGCCTACTCCGAGGAGGCTATCACCCAGTCCGGTGAGACTTTATTACGCTCAAGCTGTTCATTGATTTTTAGCTAATGCCCAATTTAGCCAACATCTCCTCTTACGAGGTTGACGACGAGGTTCTGACCAGCCTCCGCGAGTACGCTCTTGCCAACAACCTCTTCTGGGCTATGGCTGAGGGCCACGCTTGCGAGATCTCGGCTCGTCGCAACGCCATGGAGAACGCCTCCAAGAACGCTGGTGAGATGATCAACAAGTATGTTTTACCTCCAATGTTTTCAACGGTTCGTTTCTAACAGCCCCCCAGGTTCCAGATCTTGTACAACCGTCAGCGCCAGGCCACCATTACCGGCGAGCTGGTTGAGATTATCACCGGTGCCACTGCCAGTGAGGATATGTAGAAGCTTTCTTTTACGGGACCAAGTCACCTTTACTGTAGACTTGTTCATATTTAGATCGACCTTCAGCTTGTGTAAAATCAGAGTCAATCCATTTCCATTTCATATGTACAGATTTTACCCTTGTGTATAGCCCTAGCCTAGGTCATTCAACAATATAGTCGGATGAGTTCTGCTATTCAATGAGATCCTGGTAATATCTGATTTACAGTCTATCCAATGGGTCAATGTACGGTGCCCTCGTGTATAGCCCTAACCCTGGTGACTACTAGTACATATACGGTCGACTTCTTTGTTTGATGAGATACAATGTGATGGAACTATGCCATTCTGGGAAAGTAATCCTTTGTTCAATGGGATTCGACTCACAATAGGGATTGTTAATTATCCTCAATTATCCTCGTCCTCCTACTTTTATATCCCAGTCTCTTCTTCTTCTTCTTCTTCTTCTTCTTCTTCCTCTCTCTTCCTTTCCTTCTCCATAATCTCTTTCTTGCTCCTGTTCTTCAATCTCACGCTGAATATCCTTTCTGCGTAATCTTTGTTCTTTATTCCACTCGTGTTCACCTTCCTCCAGTGCTCGTACTCTTGTTTATTTTCTATTGCTATTCCTTTTTCCAGCGTCCTCTCCACCATTCTCATCATCTTTGCTGTTACCTCATTTATTTCCCTATTTTCTCAGGCCTCTACAGTGGCCCTTCTTTCTACCTTGATTCCCTACGTTTGTGCAGTGCCCAGGTGAGTATGTATTGATCATCTATCTCGCATACCTTCCTTACTAGCACATATGTTCTGATTACCCACGTTCCTTCATTTCTATTTCACATTACTCTCTCCGTCTCTCTCTTTCCATCTGCCTGTTCAAAGATCAGCAACTGCTATTTATCGTCAAGTCCACACACCCATATAACAAAACACTAATATCCACTATCAAGACTTGTGTGACCGCAAACATGTCGACCGTCACTGCGGCCACTGACGCCTACGCCATCCTGGGAGTTGGGCGAGATGCCAAACTCCCTGACATCAACATTGCCTACAAGCGCCTTGCCTTGAAGCTCCACCCAGACAAGGCTGGAAATTCCCCTGCAGCCGTTGAGCGATTCAGAAAGGTATGTCTACAACATCAAGATACACCATACCCTGTTGTTGAACATCACTGACAAGCCATTGCAAACAGATTCAAGATGCTGTTGAGGTCCTCCGTGACGAAGACCGTCGGCGCTTGCTTGACGAGGCCCTGAAAAAGAAGACCAAGAGACATCTGGATCCCGAGGATGACATACCGGCTCGGGCCTTCAAGAGCAACTACAATCCTTCATCAAAGCGAGAACGCCACAGGCATGATTTCAAATGGCCGAGCCCATTTGCCGAACCAGCATGGCATCACCGCCAGCACACCTTTAGCTACTACTACAGTTACGGAACAAGTGTGCACATGGACCCGGAGTCGGCCGAATCCAAGGCCAAACGGGCGCAATTTGAAGCAGAAAATGTCCAGTGGGAGAACGAATGGCTTGATATTGATCCAGAAGTGCAGAAGGCACGGGCTGAGCTTCGCAAAGAAAACATGCGGGCTCGGATGAAGCGTGACCTAGCAGATATGGCGAAGGGCCAGGATGAAGACACCAAATATGCCGATTTCGACCATGTTGTTGAAGGAGTTTTGGACGAACTCAACTTTGGCCACGACGAAGATTTCGTGCATGTCCTGCCTAAAGAGAACATCAAGACCTGCAACCCTGCTGACACGTTTGACACATTTTCCTATGAATACGCCAAAAAGTGCCGTTCCGGTGACGATGGTCCAACTCACTTTGATCGCGCTTCGAATCCTCAGTCTGCTACTGGCAGCGATTCGTCCTTTGACTTCACAACAAGTAGCAACTCCACCAGCTACACCCACTCAGCCAACGGGCACGCAAATTTCAAGTCCACCGTTGAGGACTATGAATCTACTACTGATAACTCCGAATCCACCACTGACGACTTCAACTCTGACGCTGACAAGCTGATCAACTCCTACATGGTCGGCCACGATTCGTTGCTCCCTCTAGTCTCATTCCTCAAGCAAAAGCTCGCCGACCCTCATGGACGCTATACTCTTGATGACCTCGGCGGTGAACTTAATGGCATCATGCTGGAGACCTATTGCGGCTGGTTGGAAGATGTTCGTCTTTCGGTCCCAAATGCCTCGCCTGTTACAGTTCGGAATGACCCCAAGTTTTGCTCCCACCTTGGTCTATGGTACAAGGAGTTCGGTCGTCCCGTGTGCAATGTTTGCAACTTGTGGATGCCAACATTCATCCTTACCTGTCCTGGCTGCGGTCTGAACGCCTGTGTCAGATGTAAGTTCACGGGTTATGGTACGCAGGAGCAGTGATTGATCCATGTTGGATCACAAGTGTTTTCAGTTCTACTTTTGTTTCTCTTTTCTATTCTTTGTTCGGTCTGGATTTCTCTTCGGTCTGGAGTTTGCGCTGTTGTCGGGAAAGGGGGAAGGAGACCTCGGGGGGCTCGTGGGAGGAAGACCCTTTCCGATCTTAATGTTGTTTGTTCTACTTTCGAAAAAGGAAAAAGGGGGAGGGGAAAAAAAAAAAAACACCAGTATCATGGTGGATTCGGCGTCCGCCCATTCTATTGATTTTAATGAATCTCGGTCAAGATACCACTTCGTTCTCATGCACAGATATAGTGACCTCGGGCTCACCTCGAACTCACATCGGCTTCTAATTTACCCTATGTGTCCTTTCCTCTTACAAGATGGATCTCCCGTCATCGTGCTCGATTTGGCCAGAGTAAAAAAATAGAAATTGCTTCTCAGTCACTTACTTCCTTTGTGCTTCGGTTTGAAACACTATACGTTCACCTTTGCAACAGAAATCACTATTCGCTTCGCTGATATTGACATTATCCTCCTACCTCATGCAACACATCTTCAGATCCAAGGCTCCGATTGTCACCTACGATGTCGACGTAGTCGAGCTCAATCCTCGCAAGAAGTGCAATTGAGCAGTTCTGTCAGGCCTTGCTAAGAGTTGAGGACAAGATAACAAACATGTCGTCGATGCCGCAGAGCCAATTTCTCAAGAGTTTCCTGTCCCTCCTTGGCGGCGTTCGAATGACAATAAATTGGGAGCTTTACCTCTGCTGGCATTCCACAGTATGTACCAGGTACCCAAGAGCTCAGCTTCGGGGCCGTTCTACTGAAATATATTGTGATTCAGGTCTGGCAGTCTCTCATTTATAGGGACTCCCCTAATCATATGCTTTGGCCATGCTGGAGACAGATGTATGTCTGGCGACATGGGTGCGGATCGTCGGGAGATTGCACGCACGAGTACGAGTATGTGGCCTTCCTTGGAGTGTCCAACCAGGAGACGATCCATGGATATGCTGAAACTAAATAAGAAAATACCAAACCCCCAGAGCAGATTACGAGTGTCTTGGCTGCAACCAGAGTCGTATCAACTACCTCAAAAGATGCGTTACATGAGTTATTGAAGCTGTCTTGGTCCGATCATTGGCGGCCGTCTGCGATGGACCACACTGGTAATACCAGGTAGGAGATGACATGGTAGCAATGGCTATTAACTCAGGTTCTCGGTGTGGCTTTGTTGGTGATGCTGAGCAGCTCCATCCAACTGTGACTTTTTGTCCATGAGGGATATCTGAAGATACAGAATAAGATAAATTCCATACCTGGATCTATGCATTCAATGATGCCAAATGAGTGCTTCTCCTTGGCTAAACATACTGCTCTACACTCCTTGGGTACTGCGCCCAGCCCTCGTGCAATAACCGAGGGAAGGTAATTGTGTCGTAAATAATCGCTTCCTCTACCTATGGATTGGCCTAGGAGTGTAAACTATGGCCCAGTCCGCTTTCTACTCGACGGGCGCCATAGGGAGTGAAGGGTGTAATAAATAGAATGAGAGATTGATATACACCTCAAGAAGGCGAAGGTGACGAAAGGAACATCGACAATTCATTTGGCTAATGTTGATATAACCTTGGAAGGAATCGACTTTGTAGAGTCATCAGGTCGTTAGCGAGAGAGACCGCATAAGCGGCCAAATCTTCTTGTTCATCTTCAATTCATCTATCAAACCGGTAAACCACTAGCTCTCGATTGCAGTTCTCGCCCATCAGATACTTCTCACTACCAGCGATCTTCCCCCTACCGACAAAATCCCAATTGTCACAAGTAATGATCGAGCGAGGTGTCTGGATACTCAAATAGGTAGTCTGATTTTGTACCCACGTCCAAGTATCAAAGTGAAGACAAAAGCCAAGATTAGGCTCGAGCACAGTCACTTGAGAAATAATGCCAAACCAAGGGTCCTTCATGATACACCCATTAAGTTCCATACTCTCAGCCTGCATGCTGCAGTTCCCACGATAAGGCGGTAAAACACCCTCGAACTCCCGGCGCCAATGAGGCCCATTTCCAACTAGAGGAATGCTTGTCGTAATAGGCTCGGGCAGCCCAAATATTTCGGGTGGTTCGTCTTCCGGCTGGATGGAAACATTTTCTGTAATTTCGACCGCCTGGGCATCATCCGTAATCTCCAATCGTTGAATGCTTGGACAGCCTCGCTGTCGGATGTCGAAGAACTCGAGGTCTCGGAACCCGAATCGTGCTACGATTGATGGAGAGTCACCAGGAGAGTCATCTCTCAGTCGCCCTGTGGGATCCAATGAAGGTCGATATGATGATGCTTTCGATATGTCCCAGACAAACAAAGACTCAATGGGAGCATCCTCGTCGGCGGTGTACAAGCTGCGATTTGGCTGCCATATATAAATCACATAGTGAGTGTCACTATGCGAGGAGAAGAACCGATCTCGCTCGCTCAGTGGATGTCCCAAAAACATAATCTTCCATTCATTGCGCGGTACAATACTCCATCCCTGATTCTCACCCCTTTGTCACATCAAAGGAGGACGCAAAATGACGATGCACGCCATCGCTATCATTCAGCCAGTGGAAGGCCTTCGGTTCAGCCCACTCGACAACGAGCAAGCTCTTCTGCAGCCGTACTCGACGGACGACCTTGCCACGAATAATAAATGGCACCATAAACTGCCGGTCCGTTTCCAAATCCATGAGTACGAGACACTGATGATCTGCGCTGGGGTAGACCAGCAGGCCGTTCTCGAAAGTCCATAAAGCCTCAGAGAACTGGCGGTCAACGAAGCGCCTCATATGACTAGCGTGTGACTCCCATGGCTGCACCTGGTACCATTCACGGTCTCCACTGCTACCAAAGTCATCGCAGAGGCGGTACTTCTGGATAGAGCGGGGCTTGCCTCGTGCTAGGTAATTGTATCGTGAAGCGACCTGGTCGAAAAGACGACGGCCTTGGTCTTGTTCTTCAACTGATGTCTCCGTGTCCAGGCTTTTGACTTCTTCTGTCCATGGGAAAAGTTTCTTCAGGAGTGCGAGTAGGACGGCCGGGTTGCTAAAGGCTTCGTTCCAGGCATGCGAGACGCGGCGACATCGGACTAGCTCGTTTGGTTCTAGATAACATAGAATCATCCAAAAGAGTTCGCGAGGTAGGAATGCCAGGCCATGGCTCTCTTTCGGTCTAGTCATTGCTAGGTTGTGCTTATCGAAGAGAAAAGGACCTCGGATCTTTAGAGACGTGCTCTGTACAATGAAAAACTTGAAGAAACCCTGAGGATGTCATTTGACGACAATTCCCCTAATATCTAAGGTCGTAGCGCAGCCCTTAGCATATTGTAGGTAAAGGATGCATCAATGGGGAGCGTGTCGATTGTTTACCAATGAGAGGAATCGGTGGTTGCACCTTTACCCGTGCAGATGATCGTTGCTTCCAAGGTTGACCGATCGTCTTTTACCCCAACTACACTCACCACCCGTTCTCACCACACATAAACTTGTCACATAAGTGGCATGGGTCGTGATGCGATGGCCGCCATGGAGCTCCGAGTCGACCAATGACGAACAAAAACAAACACCCAGCTCCTGGCTCTCCTCCGCGGCGAACAAGTCGAGTTCCATCGTCGACTGGACGGCGTTCACAGAACTCAGAACCATTGTCCCAACTGTTGTCCTAACAAGCGGCATTCTTATCGCAGTGCGCTTCCACCGCCGTTACCTACGGCGCATCCCCGACGCGCCTGGCATCTCGTCCTCATATCTTCGACGGCGGAGCATCTTCGGCCAAGTCACCAGCGTCGGCGATGGAGACAATTTCAGGATATTCCATACACCGGGTGGCCGCATGGCCGGATGGGGCTGGCTACCTTGGAAAAAGGTTCCTACCGTGAAGAAGGATCTGAAGGATAAAACTGTTCGTCGCCCGCCACCTACCTTAGCTCTTCCCCCACCCTCGGCGCCTCCAGCTCAGAGCAGGCGTAATTGTGCCATAGCACAACCCAACATCTATATCCAGCTTACATATTTACTCAAACGCAGATCCACATCCGTCTCGCTGGCGTCGACGCCCCAGAACTCGCCCACTTCGGCCGCCCCGAACAACCTTTCGCGCGCGACGCACACACATGGCTAACATCATATCTGTCCAACCGACGAGTCCGTGCGCTCGTTCACCGGCAGGACCAGTACTCGCGCGTGGTAGCGAGTGTCTTCGTCCGGCGCGCATTTGACTTCCCGCCATTCCGTCGGCGGGATGTTTCTTACGAAATGCTGAAGCGTGGCTTAGCGACTGTTTACGAAGCGAAGATTGGCTCAGAATTTGGCGGTGATAAGATGGAAAAGAAATACCGCAAGGCCGAGTGGTGGGCTAAGAAGCGAGCCAAGGGGCTTTGGAAGGATTATCGTCGTGTCGGGTCTGGTTGGGAGAGTCCGAGGGAGTACAAGAATCGGATGGGTATGGGAGATCCCCTTCCGATCGAGAAAGGGAACGGAAAAGGGAATGGGAAAGGGAAGTCTGGAAATAGATGAATCAGTCGCGGTAAGCTGGGTTTGCGACTATGGCTATGAGCGTTTATATGTTATTTTTCTTGTGTACTGGCATTTACATTTGCATGCGACGAGACGGCACGACTACGATTTCACTATACAGCGTTGTACATCTATGGCTGGTATGCGATGATCATGATCAAACCGCACTTTGAATGCTGAATATGATACACCAAGTTGTGTAAAACTATACATGGGCTGGGGGTGGTGTTGCCTCCAAATCAGGCCGCAATTGCTAAATGGGCATTAAGACCATTAATCTCCCGAGGGATTGGGAGAATCCAAGAAGACAAGTCAGTATACAGGCTATTATTCGCTCAGCAGAACCGCCGCTCAACCTCGGCAAACAGCTTTGGGCTGATTTCGTCGGAGCTGTTACCCTCCGCACGGAATAGACACCGTTGACGGTCATAGTGCTCCAGAAGGGATTTGCTCGTCTCCTCGAACTTCCGTAGACGCTGCTTCCATGTCTCAAGAGAATCATCCTCTCGCTGCGTCAACGGCTCGCCCGTAACATCGTCTCTGCCCGGCACCTTGGGCGGGTGGAAGTCTGTGTTATACACCCGACCTGAGGGCTCGTGGACCCAGCGCGATGCAATGCGGGCAAGAATCACTGATGGTGGAGTGATGAGGTGCACGACAAAGTTGACCGGTACTAGGCTGTCCAGGGTTGTTGCCTGAGCCGCAGTGCGGGGAAACCCGTCGAGGATAAAGGAGGCTGAGGAATCGATTGAGTGGGAGGAGGGAGTATCGGCTAGGGAAGAAGATGACGAGGATGCTGCGGGTTGTACTGAGGATGTGCGTGGTGGGAGGAGCCAGCCCTTGGATTTCATATCATCGGAGATCAAGTTCAGAATCATTGAGTCAGGAACAAGGTTGCCGGACTGCATTGCGGCCTCTGCTTCCAGGCCTGTTATTAAGGTTAGAGATATTGGCTCCGTATGCAATTGATTATTGCGCCGATGCTGGTTCTGCTTACCGAGGGGTGTGCGTCGGCGCACATTCTCTCTCAACAGATCACCCGAGCTGATTGAAGCCAGCTGGGGAAATCGGGCTAGCAGTCGCTCGGACTGTGTTCCTTTTCCTACTCCCGGTGCACCAATCAAGATGATCCGCGCAGCCTTTCGGAGCTGTCTTGTTGTGTGTGACATTACGTGCGATAGCTGCGTTGAGAGCTCGAAGGTTTAAGGTTGCTGGTCCTGGCGGACTCGACGGTTCAAATGTTGGGGATGCGGGAGGAACCACGGGAACAATTATGAACAATATCACGACAGCATAATGGATTGCAGTGAAGAGTTGGAGCTTGGGGTTAGAGGACAAGCAGCCGCATATCTCCAGGGCGATGTCTGTTGAGAATGTTGATTCTGTGGGGAAGGTTGATCCTTTCGGCGGTCGGTGAAGACTCCGAGGGAAACTGGATACCTTTTTAAGGTACGGAGTATGTTGTATGTTGGAGTGTATTGCAGAGCACTCAAGTCTAGGTGATTATAAAAAGATCATATTATAACATGATCATAAGGAGAGAAGATCAAGGACTTATATATCTACTTCTATGACTCGGTATAAGTGCCACTTTCACATGTCTGTGCACATGGTCTTAAAGAAGACGCTCTGGTCGGGGAAAGCATCACCCGTGAGCAGGCCGAGCAGGCCAGGAACGCCCCCCCGTGGTACTTTATTACGTAAGTTACGCCAAATGATTTTATTTCACGTGATTCTGCGCGTCCGACGCGTTCGCGTTCATTTAGTGCGGAGATCTCATACATTCGTTTCTCGACAACTGAACACAATACATACACCATGATTCGACAAGACGCCCATCGCATTGATCCCAAACGACGGGCTGTTATTGACCCCAAAAAGAGACAATTCGCTACCCCAACATACAAGCAGCAGGACTATGCGCACCGCCTGAACATTTATGAAATACCTCCTACGGCGGAAATCACTCTCGAGCAATTCGAGCAATGGGCCATTGACAGACTGAAGAGTATGCACATTTATACATTCATGCTCTCTTGCTATTTACTAATACCAAACAGTCTTGGCCGAGATCGAAGCATGCTCTTATCGAAATAAGTCCCCCGCCGAGACGGAGAGCTATATTACACCTCTTTTGCAGAAATTCCTCCCTCTTTCCTCTAATACCTCTTCTCCCTCGGGCGCCGCAGACCCCCGCTTGAAAAATGAGCGTCAAAAGGACCACTACTCTCATTTTATCCTCCGGTTGGCCTTCTCAGCCACAGAGGACCTCCGTCGACGATTCGCCCGCGCCGAGACCATGCTCTTCAAATTCCGTTTCCAGAAGGATGACACAAGGGAGAAGCGCGCATTTATCGATAGCTTGAATCTCGATTGGGAACCTGTAGGTGACTTTGAAAAGACAGAGATTGCAAAGAATCTCCTCAGCTCCACGCCAGGGCTGCGTGGGCTGGAGGATGAGACCTGGTATAAAGTCGACTGGGAGAAGGTTCCTGAGTTAGTCGAACGACGCTCGGTTTTCCTGAAGAAAGGAAAGGCTTACGTTCCTGGTCGAGAGCAGCTGAGCATGATCGTGGCTGAGTTTACCGCCCGCTTGGAGCGCGCACTCGAGGTACGTCTACATATCTACAGTAGGAGCTTGATGCTTGAAATATCGTGGCTGATTGCATTTTAGCTCACAAGTCGTGCCCTTCCACGGCTGGACGAGGATGATCGTCTAACACCCATTCTGAATCATCTTTCAAAGAACTTTGGCAGCGCCGAGTCGGTATACTCGGAGGGCGAAGGATATGTGGACGGGTCTCCGATCACGGCCAGCTCCATCGACCAACTGGCCCAACAGCATTTCCCCTTGTGCATGAAGAGCTTGCACGTGAACTTGCGCAAGAACAACCATCTGAAGCACTTCGGTCGACTACAGTATACGCTCTTCCTGAAGGGCATTGGCTTGTCCTTGGAGGAGTGTATCTTGTTCTGGCGTCAGTCTTTCAAGGGCAAGACCGATGACGAGTTCAACTCTCAATACAAGTACAACATTCGTCACGCCTATGGCGAGGTCGGTGGAGATGTGAACCGCCGCGGAAAGGGTTACACTCCCTACTCGTGCCAGAAGATTCTCGGCGACTCAAATCCTGGCATTGGTCAGACTCACGGCTGTCCCTATCGCCATTACTCCGTTGATAACTTGGTGGGCTTCCTCCAGGCCACTGGCGTCAGTGACAAGGAGGTCCTGCGGGGTGTGCGTGAGGACGTTGGTAAGATGCGGTATCATATTGCCTGCAACAGAGTGTTCGAGGCGACGCACAAGAACGAGATCAAGAAGGTCAAAGAGGATGGGTCGTGGAGTCAAACTGACCTTGACACAATTGTTCACCCCAACACTTACTTCAAGCGGAGCTACCTGTTGAAGCAGATGTCTAAAGCCCCGAAGGATGCTTAGGGTCTCTTCACACATGTCAAATTTTCATGATGTAATGTCGGGGCAGTTTTTCATTTTTCACGTGTTTTCCTTAATAGTCGGCGTTTAGAGGGGGAGTATAGGGATGTACGAGGACATATCCATGGATGAAGCAGGTCCAATTGAATCAAGATAATATATATTCTAACAATCGTGGCATACAATAATGGGAGTGTGACCACAGCTGATTCCCAGAGAATCCGAAAGGATCAGAATGACCTCTCAAATCCAGGTGCCCAGCAACGGGTCAAGTTATTCTCCGCTCAACGAGTGGACAACTTTGCCATGGAATGACGGAAGTTGTCGATAATAACATGTTTACACACATTGTAGGCTGGCGTGAAATTGAAGGAGGAAAAGAAAAGAGGAAGAAACCGCGGACGAGCCGAGTTTTAATGATGTTTTGGTCCGGGAGGCGGTAAAGACCAACTATGCTGCAACCTGGCCTTACTCACGGACCGGACCTCCACACAACATACTCCTCCATCTCGTTCACTCAATCCCTAGCTATTAACGGGGACTCTGATTTATTTTGGGACTGGATTATGCTCCGGGTGGTTTACTTGCTTAATTTACTGGAGTAGACCCTAAATCCCGAGGTTCCCTTTTCCTCGCGACTTCTCGATACCCGCATATACCCCCTCCCTTTGTCAACACAAGACCGAGTCCCGGAACAGGTACCGACAAGATGGATTACGAAGCGCTGAAGGATCAGTGGAGTGATGTGGAAGACCGCGATGGCATCAGACTCAGTTGGAACACTTTCCCGAGCACTCGCATGGTTCGTGATAGTGACACCCTCTGGCCTTCACCGCATCATCCGCTGATACTTAATATAGGAAGCGTCCCGCTTAGTCGTTCCCATCGCCGCCGTCTACACCCCATTGAAGGAAAAGCCCGATGCCCCTTTGCTACAATATGAGCCCGTTACTTGCAAGCAGCCCTGTCGAGCTGTCCTCAACCCATATGCGTACGTATCGTGTTGATCTGAGGTACCTTGATGATAAGATGGACTAACCAGCTGGACAGCACTGTCGATGTCCGCGCACGAGTCTGGATCTGCCCCTTCTGTCTGTCACGCAACCCTCTCCCTCCGCATTACAAGGATATCACGGAGAACACGATACCCCCAGAGCTCCACCCCCAGAGCACGACGATCGAGTACCAATTGGCACGACCCGCCCCCGCTCCCCCGATTTTTGTCTTCGTTGTCGATACCTGCCAGGAGGATGACAGTCTGCAGGCTGTGAAGGATTCCCTCATCATGAGCTTGTCTCTTCTGCCGCCCAATGCGCTGGTCGGTCTGATTACCTTCGGCACTATGGTAGGGAACGATGCTCCTCGCAAGGCAGTTGGCATGTTATTGACCTTGATATATAGGCCCAAGTTCACGAACTCGGCTACACCGAATGCGCAAAGTCGTATGTGTTCAGAGGCAACAAGGAATACACCGCCAAGCAGGTTCAAGAGATGCTGGGCCTGGCCGGCGGCATGCGCCCTGGTGTTCCCCAGCAACAGCCTGCCCGTCCTCCCCTTGGCCCGGCTGCGCGCTTCCTTATGCCTGTGCAGCAGGTTGAGTTCCAGATCACCAATGTCCTCGAACAACTGCAGCGCGATCCCTGGCCAGTGGCCAATGACAAGCGTCCCCTTCGCTGCACTGGTGTTGCCCTGAGCGTTGCTGTTGGTCTGCTTGAGAGTTCCTTCCAGAATGCTGGAGGCCGCATTATGGCTTTCACCAGTGGTGCAGCCACTGAGGGCCCTGGCCACGTTGTTTCACCCGAACTGAAGGAGCCTATTCGTTCGCACCACGATATCGACCGGGACAACATCAAGTACTACAAGAAGGCTGTCAAGGTCGGTCTCAACGCAAGGGTGTATTGGATATTTTGCTAATTTGATTCTAGTTCTATGATGCTCTCGCTAAGCGCGCTGCCAACAATGGCCATATTGTCGATATTTTCGCCGGCTGTCTTGATCAAGTGGGTTTGCTGGAAATGAAGAATCTCTCCAACTACACTGGCGGTCACATGCTTCTCACAGATAGCTTCACATCCTCACAGTTCAAGCAATCGTTCGTGCGTGTGTTCGACAAGGACGCCGCCGACAACCTCTTGATGGGCTTCAATGCATCTCTCGAGGTGCTTACAACTAAGGAACTTAAGGTTACTGGTCTGATTGGCCACGCTATCTCGCTGAACAAGAAGTCAAGCTCCGTTGGCGAGACAGAATGCGGTATCGGTAACACCTGTGCATGGAAAATGTGCGGAATGGACCCGTCCTCCAGCTACGGTATTTACTTTGAGATTGCCAACCAAGGCGGCCCAGCTGCTGTTCAGCCTGGTCCTCAACGGGGTGTGATCCAGTTTTTGACATACTACCAGCACTCCTCTGGGCATTACCACCTGCGGGTAACCACTACTGCCCGGCCCTTGAGCGGACCTGCGGGTGACCCAACCCTGGCACAGTCCTTCGACCAAGAGGCTGCCGCTGTCCTCATGGCCCGTATTGCGGTCTTCAAGGCGGAGGTTGATGACGGTCCAGACGTCCTGCGCTGGGTTGATCGCATGCTGATCAGACTCTGCTCCCGATTCGCTGACTACCGGAAGGATGACCCGACATCATTCCGATTGGAAAAGAACTTCACCTTGTACCCTCAGTTCATGTTCCATCTCCGCCGAAGTCAGTTCCTGCAAGTTTTCAACAACTCGCCCGATGAGACTGCTTTCTACCGCCATGTCTTGAACCACGAGGATACCGGTGACTCTCTCGTCATGATCCAGCCCACTCTTGATTCGTACTCTCTAGAGCAAGAAGGTGCTCAGCCGGTGCTTCTGGACTCCGCTTCTATCCAGCCCGCCCACATTCTCCTACTTGATACCTTCTTCCACATCCTCATCTTCCACGGTGAGACCATTGCCGAGTGGAGGAAAGCCGGGTACCATGAACAAGAGGGCTATGAGAACCTCAAGATGCTTCTTGATCAGCCTAAGGAGGATGCTAGGGTTCGTTGCCACCTTCCTTGACGTATGTTTACGCTGTTAACTGACTCGTGTCTTATAGGATCTTATTGCCGACCGTTTCCCTCTGCCCCGCTTCATCGTCTGTGATGCCGGTGGTTCCCAGGCCCGTTTCTTGCTGTCCAAGCTGAACCCGTCGACAACCCACACCACGGGCGGCTACGGTGGCGGTGTCTCATCGCAGACCATCTTCACTGACGACGTGTCGCTCCAGACATTCATGGACCACCTGATGAAGTGAGTTTTCGCTGGAATTTGACTTGGAGCACCCCATACTAACTTTACTCTAGACTTGCTGTATCTGGAACCAGCTAGGTGTTATGAGACAATAGCCATGAGAGCAAGGGCGGTCTGTCGTCGACCCTCGGGTCTTGTGTATCTTTAGCGGTGATTTAACTCCTTTGACGCGATATAGTAGTAGATTGAATGGATTGATACCATTACAGGAGGGTGCCTTTTAGAAGTCATTGCAATAAGTACATCCTGTATAAATAAAGCAGCCATGAGCGCCTCGAAGTGCCAGCACAAAACAGAATACCCAAAGAGGCAAGCAGCTTGATAAGGGTTATGTTATCTCACGTGACCCACTGCGAAGTGCCCTAACCCCCCCTAATTCGGTCATTCGCTTAGATGAGCAAGTGTGGGCCACGCTAGCAGCGAGTCCCCTTCAAGTTTAATTTTTTGGCTCCTTTTCTTCTTCTCTTCTGTAACCACCCTCTTCGACAACCAAGGACGATTGACTACCTTTCGCACTCGCCATGCGTAAGTATCATCTACTTGGCCTACTGCAAGATGGCGACTAATATTCCCTCGTGATCAGCTCCCAAGTTCGATCCCAATGAGGTGAAGATCATGTAAGTCGAATTTTTCGCCAGCCCCTCTGGCTGCATCCAGCTCTATCGACCGATCAAGAAACTAATCATTTTTGTCTTCAGCCACCTGCGTGTGACTGGTGGTGAGGTCGGCGCTCAGTCCGCTCTGGCCCCCAAGATCGGTCCCCTCGGTCTGTCTCCCAAGAAGATTGGTGAAGATATCGCCAAGAACACTGGCGACTGGAAGGGTCTCCGCGTTACCGTCCGCCTGACCATCCAGAACCGTCAGGCCGCCGTCTCCGTTGTTCCCTCCGCTTCTTCCCTTGTCATCAAGGCCCTCAAGGAGCCTCCCCGTGACCGCAAGAAGGAGAAGAACATCAAGCACTCCAAGTCCATCCCCATGGATGAGATCATCGAGATTGCCCGCATCATGCGCACTCGCTCCATGGCCAAGGAGCTCCGCGGTGTTGTCCTCGAGATCCTCGGTACTGCTTTCTCCGTCGGCTGCCAGGTCGATGGTCGCAGCCCCAAGGACGTCTCCGACGACGTCAAGGAGGGCGAGATTGACAGTGAGATTTTCGAGTTCATTGATGGTCGAATCAATTGCTAACAGTCTTTTCAGTTCCCGAGGAATAAATTATTCTCTCTTGAATGCTCAAAAAAGAGGAGGCCTATTTGATTTCTATGGCGTGCTTCTCTTAATGTTGAGATGCTAGTTGCAGAATACGAATGGTTTCTTAAACCAACAAAATATTCATGAGTCATGACCTGTGATACCTTCCCTAATTCGCGAGTGTGCAATTGGAACAAATTGACCAGCTCGCTGCTTGTTCTTTTTTTTTCTCTCGTTCCTTTCCGGTTGTATCCCTCCTTTCTCCTTTCTTTCTCCCAACTCCTCTCATGATCCTCCCGCCTTCTCCTATGGCGATGAGAATAATGGCAGGCTATCTCTGGCACAGCCGACAGTCCATCCTTTGGAACCCCCACAACACTCTGGCCCTTACTGTTCATTCCCTACGGGGTTTGATCATATCAAAAACGTGGTATAGGCTTATTTTAAGTGGGGAAGAGAAAACCAGTCCCATTACTCATCGCGGTATCCTTGAAGATTTGTCTTCGTGGGTACAGTGGTCCATATTTCGGGTCTACATCTCTTGCAGATAATACTTTTGTGTCTGCTCTCGTAGGCTGTAGTCTAGGTAGCTTCAATAAATCATGACATTTTTTATTACGAATTGAACTCCATATCTCTCGTATCTTATTAATTATGTCCTTTGGACTATGACCACTCGGATCCTCCAGTGGCGGTGTGCCAAAGTACTAACCTCCACGTCTTAACACAGCCAGGCTCGCCTGCATGCGGGCTGCCAGCATGCATTTACATATGCGAGGCGATGTTATTGACACTTGAGTACACCATAATATTGATATGATATAGCTAGCTGACTGAGCGAGGCTGGACTCGTTTCTAGAACCCCCCGAATTTAAATTTTCTTGCTTCTAACCTTGTGATATATATATCCCGAATGGAACGATTCCCTACCACGCGAGAACGACGTTATCTGCACCGTACGAATGTATAACTTAGAAATCATGCGGTTACCTAGCTAGCTACATATGTACTCCGTATATATATGTACGTTGCATGGATCCGGAAGTCGACGTCACACCAAGTAAATAGCCCTGTCTTTTAAATTCTATTCTGAGTCTGAAACATCCCAACGGCCGCTACACCAAACAGAGCCACCTGGGCAAGTATCCGAGCGCGACCAATGAAAATTAATATAAAAATTTAGTTACGGAGAAGTCCGTTCGTATTTGTTATCGGTGGACCAAATGTCAGAATTATAAAAGAATAATTGCTCACCGAAGAATCCGATTCTTATGAAATGAGGAATGCAAGCAAATTACTCCGTACTCCGTAATAGCATAGCGCCAGGGCTCCACTGAGGATCCTCATCCAGATAAGGCGATATGCGTGCTCATCCAACGGTGGGGGCTGATCCATTCTCGATGTGCGCATTGTGTTTGGTCTATTGGAAGGAAGTTATATTTGGGTCGAATGGAGTCGGGGAATATCAAGTGGATATATGTGACATGGGATTTTTTTTTTTTTCCCTTTCTGTTTTCTTTTTTTTCTTGGTGGTCCTTCTTTTTGTTTATCTTTTCGAAAGACTAGGAATACTAACTAGTATTGCCTTCAATCACTACATATGTAAATACATACTGAGTGCCTGTATCACCCGACCCGCATGCCGCCGTACAGGAACGTTGTGCAGGCCAAGGAAGGATGCGACACACAGTGGGGGGCAGTTTGCCGATCTCTACCTATGACACGTTAACTTTATGAGAAACGGTCTAAAGTTTCGAATATTCTCGTAAGAGGACCTGTCAATGTTCTATATTGTATATACGAATCAACTACACCATACCCCGTAGAAAGAATAACACAGGAAAATCAGTCAGGCTAAGAGGCTGAGAAATGACCGCAGGGATCGTGGTGGAAATGTTAGTAACCCCAGAATCATCCCGGATAGGAAAGGATCGGAACGCCAACAAACAGGGGGCCGCGCCTGTCAGAAGAAGATGGAAAAAAAGAGAAAAAGAATAGAGGGGAAAGAAAGGAGAACTAAAACAAATACACAGACATTGGTGGATATTAAGATATCCAGTCCAGTTTGAGTGAGAGGGAGAGAGAGAGACATATTAACATATTAACATATTAACTTGAAGATAGAAAATCATCAATTTCCCTAAGGTTCAGCCAAGTCTCATAGCCCACAGAAACCGAGAACGGGCTCGACTCGATGGCGGGGGCGTCACCGATCCATCACTAGTCGCCGTGATGGAACCAATGATCCACTGGGATTGGATTTAGATTTGGATATTTGGTTTTGGGAGGAAAGGGAGTATGTTGTATGTTGTAGATTATATACGGAGTATATAAATTAGATATAAGATATATATATAACCTATAACCTATAACATAACTAACATGTATAGTATTTTAAGTACTCCGTATAGTGTAAAGTAATATTTTATCTTTTATATTTTATCTTCCCCCACCTGAACCCACCGTGTCCACTCCCGGTTTTGCTCAACCTTGTTTCTCTCTGTTCTGTGCTTTCTATTCTTTCTATTCTTTCTGTTCTCTTCTCTTCCTAAGCTTCCTCTCCTTTTACTCTGACTTTCCTCTCCTTTGATCTCATCTCTCCACTGATCTCCCCCTGATCCATTTTTGATCGACCCCCCTCGCACTTGCCAAGATTCTTTTTTATTGGCCGTTTCGGACACCAGCATCGTGAGCTGGACATTCTCTCTCCCTTGCGTCTCTGATCTTCTTCTCTTTAATTTTTTTTAATTTCTTTAATTTTCTTTTCCCTCTTCTTCTTATCTCACATACTTCCCTATCCCACGCTTTTCCAGTCGATGACGATATTCTGAACTCCTTCAAGCTCAACCGGTTGAACTGCTGAGAACTGGATTGACTGGCTTGACTGGCTTCGCATAATGAGGTGTCGGAAACGTTTCAAGGATGATTTTTGATTGTTGACTCCATTGACGTGTTGAGTCTTCGGCGATATCCTTGTCGCTGGGCGGCCTCAAGGTATTCCGGTCGTCCTTGGATCAAGGAGAGAAGAAAGCAAAGATGTATCCGACCGTCGCACCGTTCCCCTCGGTCCAACCGCACCAACGCATACACTATAATACCGACACCCTCAATCAGCAAATGTACGATGCGAACGACCAACTCCCCGTCCGTAATGACCCCTCCAAACCTCCCTTCAATACAATACCACGATCGCACATCCCACTACCTCATCCCGTTCAACGTCTGGATCCCCGCGATGGCTCCGGCTATAGCTCCAGCACAAATATGGCTGAACACACTCTGAGGAGGAAAACCCCCCAACGGAACTCTGGCTGCGGGGTATGACGGGACTCTTGGCGATACCGTTCAGCCACCAGCGCCCAAGCATATCTTGGTTTCGCCGATGGAATCGGGCCAGTTCATTCCCCCTCAACAAGGGATCCAGTCTGAAAATTGGCAGCTCATGGACCAATCAGCAACCAAACAAATGAATTTCCCACCCGTCTTCAAAAATGACCCCGCAGGCAATACAATTCAAGGAGAAGTCGTTCAAGACGTGAATGGGACGAGCTGGGTTCGTCCGGTCAATTATCCTCCGGGCGTAGACTCCATGTTGAACCAAACTTTGCCCCTCCAGCCATCCCAACGATATCTCTTACAGAACGGGCAGTATGTGCCCACGGTCCTACCGGCAACCCTGCAGTCGTGTCTCGGACCAACTGCTTCCGCGGGTACTGGGCCATTCGGTCCATATTGGCCGGATGGAGTATACATTCCATATCGCCCCGCGGCATTTCGTGATGCGCGTTTTGAATCCCCGTCGCCCTTTACAAAGCAGATGAGCCAGCCATTTTACGACCTCAACCACCCGACTTTTAATCAAGCTCAGGTTCCGCTAGGCAGCCACACAGATTCGGGGGTCGCATGGGGGCAGTCCATGCCTGGTTTGCCTACTCAGGACTCTTTGATGAAACCTCTTTTCCCACCACGTCACTCTGACCAACTACCTTTCCACACCCGAGTCAACCGTCCTCCATCAGGCCTTCCACCGCCGCAACCACTGAATAACGAGCCCACGAATTGGTCGAGTCGCCCATTACATGGATTCCAACCCCCAGGCCCTGCAGTAGTAGTCAACGCGGATTTCAAGGAGAAGGTCCTATCCGAGGCTCATGGTGTCTATGTTGACCTCCTCGCAACCATCCATCAGGCCCGCCGCAACAGCGTTAGTAATGCTGCCGTTGACGGTTACCCCCGATTCTTAAAGCCGAGTATCTACCCTAAACCCCCACGGCAACCGGGTCTCGACTTTTCACAAGCCCCTCCACCCGACCTCGCACGCCATAACAGTTACCCGGCTAGTCAACATGACTTGCAACGGCAGAAATTTAATGCGGGCAGCCATAGGTCGAACGATCCTACGTCTATTCCTCGTGTCCAAACTCGCCGCCCATCCTTAAACCAATTCGCGCATAGCAGAGGGTCAGATACTCATATGCTTGGATTGCGAGACACAGGTTGTCCTTCGGGGGTGTCGCCTTTCACCAGGGCTCGTGGCTCTCTTTTCAACGAGGGCTCGCCTATGTCTAATGCTGCATCTGCTTTGTCAATGCTCTCTGACTTGTGTGCGGAGAGCCGTTGGGAATGGATCGACGGAATGCTCCTCGGGGGTTGTTTGGCCTATGGCTTGGGTGATTATCATAAAGCTGTCCGATGGTACTCCAGGATCATAACTCGCGACTCGACGTAGGTGAAATATTGTTGCTGTCTGACAATCAACGCTAACAAATACCAGACATGTGGAAGCTATCTCCAACCTTGCTGCCACCATGTTGGCACTCGATCGCCGAGAGGAGGCTTCGCAACACTGGTTGCGCGCCGTGCAACTACGGCCGAGCTTCTTTGAAGCCGTCGAACATCTAATTGGATTACTATGCAATAGCCACAGAGGCAGGGAAGCCGTCAACATCATTGATTTTGTCCAGACTTCCCTTCGTCATCCCAAAGACGGCGATTGCTTCAAGACAGATGAACACGCTAGCGA